ATGTGAATGCGGAATTGATCTTAACTGAAACAAAAAAGTCATGACTTATAATAAAATTCGATTGATGTGCGAAGAAAGTTTCAGTGATTCTAATCCAAGCTTAGATTTTCGTTCAGGCGAAGAACATGCATTAGTAATTTCATCACTTTCAATCAACGTGCGGTTGAGTCAAATTTTATAGGAGATATTACGGGGTATGGGTGTGGATATGTTGGGTGTAGGTGTGAGCGTATGGGTCGATTCACAGACGAACTACACCCACACCCACACACGTTCCTATTCTGCATCGTAGATATACATGATTCATTGTGTGACAACCTTTTTTGTTATTCTTGAGTGATTGAATTCAACTTATAAGCTTTTATGTGCATCAGATTCGAACGTATAGAAAGGACGCAAAAAAGTGACGCATGAATTCGGATGTATAGAAATGGATGTAAAAAATACCCTATAAATTTTGACGTACAGAAAAGAAAATTTCATAACAAAGGTATGATTTTATTTGGAATTCAACCATATTTTGTTTTTCTTTCAGAAAAGGTTTGTTATTCTTTTTTATCAAAATTTCTCAGAGAAATGATAAAGCGGATTATATGAACATCAAAATGAATTCTTGATTTGATTGGTAAATAATAGGTAAGTATAAATTTTTAAGTTAGTCTTGGACGCTATTTTTCCGACTTTTCAGTAATTGACGTTGATTTTCACCTAACCTATGATCAAATTGAATATAAAGGAGACAAAAATGTGGAGAACATCGAACTTTAAAGATTCCGTGTATCTAATTGAATTCCTAGATAGTGATCTAAAACGTGGTATGGATCCCATGAAACCACTCGATTTTACCGTTGCGTTCGAATGAATCATAGACGTCTCAAATAGTCGTTTGAAAAACTAAGAAAAAACAATTTTATATTCTTACGGGCTCCACTATAGTACGCGTAAAATGTAGAAAAACAAAAGAAAGCAATCGAAGAATATACGAAATGAATAGCCTGTTATGGAATCTCAAAACATGCCACTCATCGCTTGCTATTTACAAATATTAAAGGTTTGCATTGGCCTTACTTGTTGCGCTCTTGAAGCGGGACTCTTCAACTATTTCAAAACTAAATTTGCATTTCTTGTTTTTTCAAACAGTAAAAACGGCTCTGTTGGAAAAGTTGGAGTTCTTATACGTACAATAAAAATATTCTGTCAAGACTTTTTGAATTTCCTATTATGTGCAGGTGTCATTCGAAACATATTATATCAGAACATTATTTTTATTTTGTAGATAGTTTTGTGCGACAGAGACAATATATGGCATCGAACTCATACAATCGAATCGTTGACATTGAGAAAGAGCCATTGAGAATGCTCTTGCCAATTGACGGCTTCGAACAAATGCCTCTTGTATCATTGAAACAGGCAATTGAACCACTTGTCTCACTTGTTCCAAATATTGAATCCTATACGTGGGTCGCTAATTACAATTGTGAAAATCCTAAAGAAGGTTTAACATTGGACGAATCAGCGGCAATAATGTTGTATTCAATGGAGACTTCTAGCGAAACTGTTTATGGCATTCTGAATTCGATTCTTCGTTCTGAGAATCCTGATAGAAATAATCAGCTCAAACCATGGTACTCTTATCTTAAACTGTTTATTACTGCTCTTTCTCATCTGCCTTCACATCAGTTAATTGTCTATCGAGCTGTGAAACTCAATCTCAGTGAACGTTATCCAAAAGGAAAACATTTTGTGTGGTGGGCTTTTTCTTCCTGTACAACATCATTAGATGTACTCAAATCCTCGACATTTCTAGGTCGAACAGGTACACGTACTCTATTTATTATTGAATGCTTCACAGGAAAACGTATCTGCCATCACTCGTTCTACCCTGCCGAAGACGAAGTCCTTTTGATTGCTGCTCGTCATTTTGAAGTAATGTCTTCTATGCAGCAAGCATCTGATTCGTGGATTATTCACGTAAGAGAGATCCAGCCCGAGTTTCCTCACTTGGTAACGGACAGTAGTATTTCTTTCAATTTTGAAGCTCACCAAATCTCCAATGCAAAAGATTCACACGTTGTTCCATGCAAATCATCAGAAATTATTGTTTCCGAAACGACAATGAACCCGCTAGTCAATGCATCGCTAATTGTTGATGACGAAAACCAAAACGAAAACACAACTTGCTTGCAGTTTTCAAACTCACACATGGAGAATACGTCAGAAATTCTCGTGAAGAGCAGATGTTGCATTGATCGAAACGAATATGTTCGGTGCACAGAAAGTGTTTTAACGGACAAAAATGATTTGCAGTGTTCGAAAATAGCAACATCATATTTAAGAGTTATTGATACAGATCGGTAACTAGATGTGCCAAGTAAGTAAATTCAACTTGTTGGTGATGCCTCAAGAAGGAAAAATCAGATTCTAAGATTTCAGAAGATTCCAAAAGATTTTAAAAGGCTTTTGGAAATATCAAACGATTCCAGTTAAATGAAATCTACGCACGCTTATATGAGCGTGAGTGTTTCTGCTGTACTTCCAATATGCGAGTTACCTATGAAAATTACGCGTTTTTGTTGGTGTCATCAGGGCTCTCAAATTCAAGCTCGGGAGTTCTTATATGCGCGCTCATGAGAGTGAACGTGAACTATACACCTCTAACCAATACCGGCCAATATCAACACCATTCAATACCGATACCTCACTACTGTATTGGTATTGTAACATGTTTAATTTTAAGATTTTTCAAGTTTTTCAAGAATTTTGAAAGATTCCAAAAGATTCTAAAAGATAATAGACGATTTTAGAAATTTTGGATGCTAAAATCTGCTTTTTTTCTCCATCGCGATGTCTCTTTAAAATTCTCGATACTTGAATTGGGTTTCGCATTTTAGTTATTTTGGTGGATCTCAAAGATATTAACAGAATATTTTTCGAGTATGATCTTTTTTATGCTAATGGGAATAGATGTTTTGACTGTCATAATCTTAACAGTGTTGAAAGAGTTGTATGCCATAGAAGTATATATAAAACGATAGAAACACAAATGTATCGCACAAACTACTATGGCCATTTGTATGGTTTTCATAGTAAGAAATAAAACGATCTTTATCGAACGTTATTTTCGAATGACTCCATCATCACTTACCCGTGACAGAAGAAATTGAAACGAGGAGTATACCTCGCTTAAAGAACATTGACTGTGTATCGTCGACTCTAGTAATAAGAGAAAATTCAGAAACAACGAATGATTCAATGGATGACTTTATTATGACCGATAAAAAAAGTAATCCCGATGCTAGTGATGAGTATCCTAACGACCCGTTGTCGTCGCATAAGCCAAGCAAAAGCATGAATCAAACGATGGTTGATGCACAAAGTACTATGATGTACTTGAAGGATATATTAATCACAACACACGATGCCGACCTTTTGGCTCAAATTGTCAGCAAAAACACTATTCTGGACACACTTTATTTGTGTAACAATGATCTAGGAGATCATGGGTTGTATAAGTTCGTCCAAGTATTGCACACCCGTACTCCTCTAAATGTACTCTATATTAGTCAGAACGGTCTAACAGATTTAGGCGCAGCACATATAGCAGAAGTTCTAGCTAGCAAGAATCATACATGTACACAATTATTCTTACCTAACAATGAAATAACCAGTCGAGGTGTCAAGATCATTGCTCAATCGCTGCTACAATCGCAATCAACACTGGAACTACTAGATCTCTCAAGAAATTCATCAATTGGAGACGATTGTATCGATGCAGGCGATCGACTTATCCTGAATAGTAGTTCACTGAAAACTCTCTATCTCCACAGCTGTAATCTCTCAAAAAACGGAAAAGAAAAACTGAAAAACCAAATTACAAAACGAGAAGTTTTCAATCTCATATTGTGAGTTATATTTGATTCGAATATGGATGATTTTTGTACAAAACTTATCAATGGCTATTTTTCCAATAAATTTTGAGTAAACATTCTGATACAAGAAAAACAGAGTGCTGTCCTAAGGTGTCTATGCGATATTGTCATGATAATTGTTTTTGATTGGAAGAATTATTAAGATAGAGAGCGACGTGGATGTGGGTGATGTGAGTGTGGATTTAAAGAACATACACACTCACCCATACCATTTAGACATATGTTGACCCGAAAAACTTTCAGATATAGAAGCATCAACCAACAAAGTCGAGACTATCTGTCTATGTACATGATAAATTTATTCTATACTGTTCAAGTCAAACTATCATTGCATTGATGGTTGTTGAGAGATAAGCAATTGTATCAAGGTCATCCATAGTATATATGCGGCCTGATGTGTAATGTGTATGTCATGTGCTAGGATACCATTCTAAAAGAAAGACTTGTTTTATATTGAAAATATCACATTATTTTCCAAAAAAGCACATCAGAACATAAGAAAAATATCTGAGTTCTTTCAATCAGTGATGAACAGCTGAAAGTTCTTTTAATAACCTAAACATACTATTGTCACCATAGATCTGATAGACAGTCAAAATGGGCATGGGTGTAGATTTGAGTATGATTTTATTCTCTAAACACCCACACCGACAGTCTCATCAAATAATCTTTCTAGGTCTCAGATAAGAGCACTTGAATCAACAAATCCAGGTAGTTTTTTATGAGGCATTTCGGGAACACAGTCCGAAATCTATCGTTATAAGCAGCGCGTTTTACAGGTTCAGATAGTTACCACCTCACTGTGAAAAAAAAAATGAAAACTGATCCATATTTTTTGAGATTTTTTTGCTTCTGAAAGATCTCTCCATAAGCCACATTTATTACACAAAAAAACGAAAATTTGCTTATTTTTGTTAAAAAAATTTTTTTTTCTAGCGACAAGTAGGACTGCAAAATTATAGAAATTCTAGCATTCGATTTTCGTTTCGTGGCGAGAGCTATCGAGAACGTTTAACGGTTCTTCAATCCAATAATGCAGATAAGATGAGAGACAAAAAGAGAACGCTCCTGGGTGGGCTCGAACCACCAGCCTTCCGGTTAACAGCCGAACGCGCTAACCAATTGCGCCACAAGAGCACGACGAAACTTTCGACTCAAATTCAGAAATTATACAGGCAATATTAGACAAATAGAGTTGAGGATCTTAGTTTTCTGCTAGACTTTATCTTTTATTGCGTCTCTAACTCAGCGGCTAGCTAGCAGAAATTGAACGAGGAATCTAGATACGTGAGAATCCTATATAAAACACAGTTCAGTAGTAGAACATGTAGCATCGAACTATTGGGGTCAAAAGACACATATGGAGCATTTATTTTGTTTAAAATGCATGTTTTATTTTTGGAATCAACTAGATACATACATGGTAGGGAGAAAATTTTTCTGGAGTGAAAGAAAATGTAAAGCATAAACCAAGAACACTGAAAAAAGAGACTAGAGGAATATCAAGATCTATACAATGCATATGAAATTTTGATCATTTCATCAAACATAAAGAATAATGAACTAAAGACAGAAGAAAATTCACATTGGGTGACAGCGTTGAGTATCAAGTTGAAAGAAGACTCTAAAAGAATCTCTGAACACAGATATGTGCAAATCTTTCCGCTGTATTTTAGGATATAAAATAGAGATCTGTAATTGCAAGTCGATTAAACAAAAGCAGCACTTTTTCATTTTTCTTTTCAACATTGAACGAAAGGGTGTGGATGTCGGTGCTGACATTGAAAACATTGGAATCCAAATCCACATCCATACGTTCACCCTTTTATCGGCTGAGAGACGGTCACAAATAATAGAAATAAACAAAAGAACAAAATTTCTTCATAACATCCATATTGAAATAATGAAGCATTTCGTATAGAAATAAGTAACTTCATTAGAGAACATTCAATTATTAACTACGATGCTTGTCAACGACAAAGCAGCTCGGAATTTTCCAGTCGATTGACAAATTAATATAAATTCCCATTTTGATACTATACGAGCATCGAAACGAAGAGTCCCATTGGTTTTCTTATGGATTTTCCAATGCACTAAATGTGTATGTCGAACATTCCTGAAGACTTCATGATACTTTACAATCGAAGTCCCAGTTGTTCTCCCTTTGGGTGGGAGTAAAGTAAGACATCCACACCCAAAAATACCCACTGTTGTATTACTTATGAATGACCATATCATCCTCATGATATTATTCGTTTACTATTTAAATCTGAAAAATACATAAATTCTCTACACATTTGTGAGCGAACGATTTTTCCAAAAAAAGTCATGATATATGTTTACTTTTACATTCCACAAAAACCGACAATACCGATCTGCATCGTTTTCAGTTATGAACTTATTCCTCATCTCATATGTGTAATACTTAGTGCATAATATATTTATACAAGGTTAACACATCTCTTTATTCGTATTTCTTGTACCGGTGAATTATTTGTTGTCATTTGTTATGGAGAGAAAAGACATGAGTATTAGTTTTATTATCTTTAATTTTCTTGAAAATAAAATGAGTTGAACAACGATGAAGTTTTGAATAGCAGATTTATGGTATTCACGTATAATTCTTGATGATTGATTGGATTAATTTAACATTTTCATCTGCGAATAATAAAAATTGTTTTTGCGTTGAAGTACTATTCTTTAATGATTTTGTGCTCTCATCATAACTTGATTCCATGTCTTGAATTATAGAATTATGATGTTGTTGTGAACACGTTTTCTTATCTTCATTAAATAATCATTAGATTGCACTTGAATTTTTTCTCGTAGTAAATATTTGGTATTTTTATTAATTGATTATCAACAAATGTTTAAACAATTATTTCTGTTGCCTGATTATACTTTCGTCGACTTGAACTTTTGGAATCAATAAATTTCGATTCATTCTTATATATAGGTGAAAAAGATGGTGATACATGGAATAAGAAAGAAATGATATTTGCCTTAGTTAGAGATTTTTAATATTTTCACTCTATACAATCAAATTCGCTACGCAAAGGAATCTATTCAAAGAAAAGACGAAAATTCATTTTTGCATCAACTATTCCGAAAAATAAAATAACTACTTAAAGCAATAACCGTATCCATTCGTGAACAATGACAAAGTGTATTACTGTTGATATGATTTGATTTGGATCTATTTAATCAAGTTTCTCTTTAAAATATGTGCCAATAAGCAATGATTAAGTCGTGATTGAGTCATAGAAGTTCGCAATATATTTTTCACCCGATTCTATGTACTAAATGCTCGCTCCGAAGTTGCTGTAGTTACTGGATTAGTTAAATAAAGTCGAATTAATTTATCGAATTCTTGGAACATTTCTTTTCCAATTTTATAAGTATTTAAAATTTCACAAACTGTAGAAATTTCCGTAATCTGTTGTATTTTCATTTGATTTGTGTTAATAACAGCTTTTAAAAAGTCTGAAATCATAAGTGATTAAGCTCTTCATTTTTCAACATTAAGGGAACCCCTTTCCGGCGTTTCTACGAAACGGCCGATCGAAAATTCCTGAAACTTTCAGGGTAGATAAGTCTCGAGTAGTAAAGCAAAAGTTATCATGGGCACAAATTTGTCAGACCTCATCTTCATGGGCTTCCAGAGACCCCAAGGTAAAAAACTTTCAAAAAGTTCCCTCCCCCCGCAAATCCATAGATTTCATCCGTTTGAGCTGAAATTTTTACTGTGGGTACACGAACCCAACCGGATGGCCGTTTTTTTTTTTTTCAAAAATTCCAAATACTTCAGACTGAAGAACCAAAATACTGAAGACTTCCCAAAATCTCTAGGTTTTTTAGATCC